AGTCCCATCTGGGGTGCCAATTTGTGGTGTCGTCTGCTGCTCGTCTGAGGAACCACACTCAGTCTTGAGTTTTGATGCCAGAAGATACACTTTATTACATCATCAATGAGAATAAAGCGGAGATGCTCTCTGCAGCAAAACCTCTCCAGAATGTCTTTCTGTCTCCCCTTTTATACAGGTTGGATTTTAAGGCGTGGGGTATATATTCCATACAGTTTTCCGTACATTAGAAGTAAGGGTTTTTGACTGGAGTATTTGATTTTGACATGGAAGTTTGTACAAGTTTGTTTGTCACGAGAATGTGTTTATAGTTGTGACAAAGTGGTGAATTGTTTCATGAATTGTGTGTTAGTAATCGAGAAAAACTAAGACAGCATTTAGGAAAATTTAAACAATTGGAAAATCTTTGGGATAAGCAATGTACACTGATTATATAAAACTATACTGTCAGTACATCATAGTTAAATGAAATTGTTATATACATTTATTTCTGTTCAAAAGTGTGGAAATAAATTTTTCAAAATAAACTTCAAATAGGCCTATTCCTTATCCTTTGGCTCTCTCTAGTGGACAACATTAATATCACAGCTTTTAGTCTCAGGTTATGTTATCACATAGGCTTTTATAATAAAATAAATAGCATAAATAATTTAGTTTTTTTTTTCTTTGAGCACTCATTATAATTCACTTTTCACGCAATATCACCTAAAAATCAATTGAAAATCATGTAAGCCTATTCAGTGACTAACATGGAGCGTCCAAATATATTCACAGTTACAGTTTAAATAAAAGCAAGCCACTCAATAATCGCAGCTTTGTGCTTTGTTAATACAAAGTCTCAGCCTTCTGTCAATTTTATGATAAAATACAAACAATAAACATATTTTTACGCTCTTTAATTTGTAGTGAGATAATTCGCTTCAGTTCTTGCTGCATATGAATCAATGATATTTTCCTCTTTAATATTTGCAGCACGAAATAAACATGAATATTTGAATGCATGTTAAAATCAGAACAATTTAATACAAACGAATGTCTCATGAATGGATCAATCAGAGTTTTTAAAAAAAGTCAAGAATGACAGATGCCACAGACTTTTATTTTTTTGGAGTAGGCATATATGTGGAATTTTCACATTAACTTTTAATCTTATTTATTTAGTTATTTTTCAACGTGGCACAAAAATGCTGCAGTATAGGCTACTGAACGCAAACACAATTTTGGCACAGCGGCCCAAAAAAACAAACTAAATAAATAAATAAAAACCAAAAAAAAAAAAAGTACAAAATAGTGAGGGGATATTTGTATTATTTGTTAGTAAACCAATGTTTTCTGAGTCAATGTTGCAAAAATTAATTTGACCAACCTGACTCGCCATCTCCTCATTGGACGTGCCTTTAGAGAGAAATTCATCTTTAGGGATTACATAATGAAAGAGGCTTTGTTTTCGATTTGAAATATTTCGTTTTAAAATAGTGATTTAAAGCATTCTATAGATATATTTATCGTGTCGGCGAAGCGCTCCTGCGCAAGACCAAGAGGACGGAAAGCGCATCCTGTTTGTTTTCTTTTTTAAATCTTTAAAATATTTTGTTGATATTGTGAGTGCACACAAATACAAGTAGACTGCTTTAAAAAGACGACAGAAGGCGCATCCTGTTTGTTTTCCTTGCTTTATAAAAGCACAAGATTTTGTTGATATTGTGAGTGCACACAAATACAAGTAGACCCTTTGCAGTTCCGAATGATGCATACTCTTACCTTTATGAGCAAAAATGACGGCGTAATTGTTAGTTTCCACTGTTATTAAAAAAAATGTAAGTGATCGCGCTGGCGTCTCCATGTCCTCCAAAGCGCGCTTTAGCTTCCACTCTCCGCACAAACGATTGGATATGTGCCTAACAGCGCTCATTTATCTAGGTTAAATGTTTAAATTAATACTGTGAAATGCATGAAGTGTTTTATGTCTGTTTATTTTAGACAAGTCGTGTTGGTTTGAGAAGGCTAAATTGACATAACATAATGCTCAACTCACTGTCTGCCTCTGGCCACTTGGTCATTCCTTTAAAAAACAAAAACTTGAATTTAACAAACATAAAATGTTCCAAACATATTTCTAAATTAACTTTATAAAGAAACAAAAAGAAATATGACCACTTTGCCATTAAAAACCAAAACTGACCTATTGTAATAGCTGTGTAATGGAGAGGTATGCACATTACTAAGCACTGAAATATAAAACAAATAGAAAAGGAAACGGCGTTTTTTTTTAAATAATTAAACACTGCGTCGTCAGAGCTGGTATGTGGCTTTATCAGACACTTGCACTTAACATTTTATGAAAATCAAGCTCAAATGGAGTTAACAAGGTTTTTGACCAGCGAATGACGGAGATTTGTGTTTTGTCTGTCATTACAACGGCCGCATCTGCATAACGGTACAATTCAGAATAAAATAATGCAAGCTTTGTAAAATGTTGAGCCACAAATTATGCTGATATTGCGAGACACCTTTTCACCTCGACAAGAAATGATGTGTTTAATTAAAATATATTAATACCAATGTAACAGCCAAAAAAGAAAAGTTATCTAAAATGAAATTAACTTATAATTATTATTAACTATTAACACTTGTTAGGAAATAACTAAAAGCAATAGCCTATAACAAATATATCTACTTCTGCAAACTTTAAATTTCGTTTAAGGCGACGTACATTGAGACGACGTATGTATCAGGCGTCATGTAAGGCGACGTACCTAGTTTAGACGTACTTAGTACACCTACCATTTTTGATACATTTCTTACATACGCCGCCGTCACGTCGCAGCCTATGATTGGTTCCAACAGTGACGTCGCCGAGAAGTCGCCGCTGGTCTGTCCTCTGCCTGCCCTATCAATCCCATTCAAAAATCGACACGGACTGACGGCGACGGAAGGGTAGACTGCTCCTTCTCCTTCTCCTGCTAAGCCTTCGATCTGTCACAAATCACACCTCGTACACATCATTGGTCACGGCTTCTGCTCACGGCAAGGTACGCGACGATCGACACGACTGATTGCTTAGTTAGCAAAGTAAATGCATAAAGCACACCTCATAATCCACTCCTCATAGACAAACACAACTGGAAAGGGAGGGAGGGCTTCACTTCTGCGTCTCTCTGCCTGTCATGTGCATGTGGCGATCAATGTGTGCTAACGCTACAGGGCTGCGCAGAGACGCGGAAGGGAGAAAGTCAACATTTCCCGACCCGTCCTGATATTTTGATTTTTTTTTTATTTGTTTGACAGGGAAAGTGGTGCGCAAACAGAAACACACACGCGCGCACATATATACATTATATTAATTTATAAAAAATAAAAAAAAAACAGAAAAAAGGGCATAATTTATAAAAAATAAAAATAAAAAACAGAAAAAAAGGGCACTCTCCAGGAAGAAAAAGGGCAGGTGCTCAAGCCCCCTTTGATGTGTATGTGTGCACGTGCCCTTATGATTATTCAAAATTTCTGTCATTTAGATAAATAAATCACTTTTGCATTCTGAAATGGAAATCAAAATATTCTCTGATTCATGCCTGTTACAAATATGTCTGTAGATCTCATCTCTGTTGAGTACAAAATCTAAAGAAAAGATACCTCACACTGGTGTAAATGTTCAGAATGAATCCAGCCCTTTGCTTAGTCTTTTAAGTGCTCTCCATTAAAATTCCATTCCACCACCTGTCAAATTATAATTTACAGACAATCTCAGACGATTTATGAAACCACTTAATGATTCAGATATACAGATACACAGTTGATGAAACGAAACGCTTATAACTCAAGCATTAACTCATTCAGTCTCATACTGCACCAAAATTATGCACAATATTCAACTTAATAAAGACTCCACAAAAACCCCAGTTGGCCATAAAACTGTAAATCACACTTAGGAAAAAGCCTTCAGCTATTCAGATTTTTTTTTTTTTTCATAACTTAAAAGAATTTCGTGTTTTAAACATAAAATTATGAATAGAACATGAAATAATTAAAATATAAGATGTAAATAATAAATTATCCTGCAATGACTAAAATAGCATCAGATCCTCCTGGGCTGAGGTGGGTCATATTTTAGTATCGGATTTATGCAGCATTGCCTCTTTACGCAGACTTTGATGAAACTATAGTTGATTAAAAAAAGGCCAAGTGCCAACAGCAGGCCTATAATGTAAAGTGTAAGCAGTTCAAGTTCAAGAGCACGCAAAGGACTTTATTTTTATAATTATGCATGCTATATACAATTTTACTATAATTGTTCAATTGGAATTATTAAAGGTGCAGCTTTCTTACATTTGAGCCCCTGTCCCCAAGGAACTCTCTGCATGTCCCGGACCAGGACTGTGTAAAGACACCCTACAAATATGTCAAATAGGCTAACTCTCATTTAGGCTACATGACAAACTGCACTGGCCTTTTAAGGACATTGGTCTATAATATTTTTTTCATAAAATACTTTCATTTTACTTCAACTTCAACGAGTAGAAAATTCTACAAATCTGCAGGGCCCCAGACTCCTGCATACATCTGTTAATATGATGTAAGTGTGCGCCACCTGCCGGAGATTTGGAGAAAACGCTCCTAATCAGGTGACCTATGTAGACGAGGTACCTCATCACGTGATGAGCTAATGTTGCCATGTCCGATTTTTAAAAGCAACATTGTTCTTGTTTTTTTTAATTAGCTTATAAATATAGACCAGTGATGTAAAACTCAGTTCCTGGAGGGCCACAGCCCTGCAACGTTTAGTTCCAACCCTGCTTAACCATGTACTTTTTAAGCCTAAAGGACCTGATTAGCTGGATCAGGTGTGTTTAATTAGGGTTGGAGCTAAACTCTGCAGGGCTGCGGCCCTCCAGGAATTGAGTTAGACACCCCTGATATAGACAGTCGTGGGTGGCCATTTTTAGCCATTGTTTTTATTATTCTTTCTAGAATAAAGTCACTTATTAGGGCTTACTTGGCCCATGTAGTACAAGAAAGCATAATAACATTTGTCAATTATCTCCACCTGCAGTTCGAGTTTGTTTCTGTTTCTATTTATCTTTACCCATTGGTGTGTGTGATTTAGATGGTTGTAGCTATAGCTAGTAAGCCAGTTGTAGGCTGTTTGTGAAACATTTTAATTTGTTTGTAAAATGCTCTAATTATGGAATCAGACAAACGAAATCAAGCAAATATCGGCACCACAAAACTGAGATCGCCTATTGTTCGTGAGGGTAATTGGTTATTTTAGGCTTAATTTAGTTAGGCTAATTTTATTAGGGAGTTTTTAGCGAGATCTGGCAACACTGTTTTGCGCGTATTACCATCCGACCTGCCCTGTCAAGGAGGGGGGACGTTTCGTATCGTCTTAGTAATGGCGGACACATGTGGCCAAGTCCTCCTTGGGTCTGGATTAACAGTCCTTTCCCACCCTCTTATGTACATCAAGGTTTTAGTTCAGGTAGGATTTACACAATACACGCAAAAATGAGAGCAGTAGCAAGTTGACGCCTGCACACGCGCTGCTGTCGAGTACTTTCGATAGCATGTTGATAAACGTTTGCCAGTTCGGTTATGAACAGTAACCTGCTGAATACATATTGCAGTTTGTCCTTTTGAGACATGAGCATCGTTGTGTGGAGTAAATTTGTTTACAGGGATAAAGGTGTCTATGCTCATCATTATAGGGGTAGTTAGCTGTACT